GAAACAGCGATGGAGGCGGGATTTGAACCTCAAAAGTTAGAAATCGGGAAAGGTTAATTACAGCGACTTTAGGTCACCAGCACTATCACCTGAAAACCCTTCATCCTATACTGTTTTTCATCCATCACTTACCTCGGCGAACGCGCGCCGAGGCAATCTATACGGTGGAATGCGTAACAAATGCTTAAACCAGCCTAATCTACGGAGGTTGAGCACTTAATCCAAGGGATGATCGAGGTTATCTTAAACTCTGGCGCGAACTCCGGTGTTGTTTCTTTGGTTTCTCTACCAGACTTGTGCATTGGAGCGTAGACAGAGGCGCTTGAACACCATCAGTCTATCTTTATTCTTTTTTCGTAATGACGGTATAGCAGAACTAGTCGGAGGTCACGGTACCGGAAATGCCTCAAGTTGGCGAATGCCAATCGATCCTTCCGTAAGCGTGTCAACACTACATCCGTGATGTGTCCACAAGGTGAGATATAGCTGTCTAAATGAGAAATTTTGTTCTCTTGTTCCGTTATTTTCCTTAGTTACTGTGAGGGTGGAAGCTGGACCAACCCAGTCCTGCAGAAAAAGTTTACACTTCGAAGATGCAAAACGCATGCCGAACATAGCTACACTAGCATATAAACTATCCATTAAAGATTACAACTTATCTGGGTCTTCATCTAGTAATACAATGCCGTGAGCATACTCCATACTATACAGTTTGTCATTTGACACTATCCTTGCACGAGAACAAGTCTGATTTTATAATCAAATCTATATCAAGGTTAGATAGAAAAAAAGAGAGAGGGAGAGGGCAATCCTGACGAACATTGTTTTCTGTACTGAACTCGGGCGAAGAAGTGTTGTAAGCTCGGACTCCGCTTCGGCTATTAGCACAAAAGAATAATACTATTGGAATAAACTTCTCGGGCACACAGTTTACGGAAAGACAGCGCCAGAGTTCAGAGTGGTCGACTGAGTCGAAAAGGACTTTCATATCAAGGAAGATAGAAATGGGGAGTCAACAAGGTGTGTATTCTGGAATTTGGCGCAGAGTGAAAATACGGTTGATACCGCCTAGAATAGGTATAAAATAATTCCGGTTCTCGCACGTGCAGCATTCCCAATGAGCAGATAGTCGACATAGTATTACGCCCGTAAGAAGTTTCCAGAGTGACATAGGCACCGCCAAGTTGGCCCACTAAGCTCCGTATAACCGGTTAGCACCAAGCCCTTCGTTCCCTCTGTCGTAAAACCGCTTTTAACTTTAAGCTTAAAAACGAGCTCATGATAATTACAATCAATAGCTTTACTGTTAGAAGGTGAATGCAAAAATCAATAGTTATAGATACACGAGAATTAGGTATGGGTGGTTCTAGATAAATTAGGACGTGTCCATAGATAAAGAAATGATAAAAAATTTTCTTCGCCATAAACCAACTGCTTCCTGCTTATCTGTTTAATAACTTTTTCTACTATAAGTAAGGCAAGAGGAAAACGGGAAACAGTTTAGCTTGTAAAATGAATAAATACATTCACAACAAAACCCACTCGCAGATTCAGTTTTCCGGCACTGAGGAAGTGGTCCACATCCGGTAGGATCGCCATTAAACAGACCCAAGAACAAGATTCTAGCCACGCAATTGAGAGATGAGACCCAACATTCTCAAAGCCGGAAATTGATATGATGCAGAACGACCAGAATCCCAACCCCGTCACTGCATGAGTGATGGTTTCAATAAACAAAATGAATGTCAGCGGAAAACTAGCTGCAGCTTTACGGCATCTAAACAGTTATCGCATTGTCAGTTACATGGAAACAACAATACCCACAGCAGTTCCAAGCAATAAATTGCAAACCACGTAGTGCTCAAAAAGCACAGATCGCTAAAGTGAACTAGCTTTAAGCAATACTTCATTAAATCTGAAAAAAAAGAAAACCTCTTGTAACTCAAACGCAATCGACCTTTACGCGATGAAATAAAAGACGATATTTTTGTGCAAATTTGTATGTACAATCGTGCGTGCATTCAGCTTAACCGGAAAGTCGAGAGTTCTCATCATCGTTATCGCCAGCCAGTGTGGCAAGTTCCCTTTCTGCTTCATCAAATAAGCGGTTGGGTGGATCCACCTCTTCGTCATATTGCAAACAATGATCAATTTGACGTAATATGTCCGCCACAGTTTCCTCATTCTCTCGATTCAAAGGCATAAAGTGAACCACACTGTAACGTTCCACCAAATTGGCTAATGCAGTGGTCAATTTGGAATTTTTCTCTTTCTGTCTGGTGACGGAGGTATGCTCAGATGTCAAATCCGATTCAAAAAAGTAGTTCATATCCGGATTTAAATAGCGAGCGATCACATATTTTTGTTTCTTCTCCGACAAAAGATCCATTTTGGACATGACGTTAATGTGTGCCGTGGCCAGAGAGACCATGGCCGATAGAGCTGAAAGCACCCCTGCCATGAAGTGAGAGGAATCGACAAGGAACCTAGCATCCAGAATGAAGACAGAAACCAGACGAAAATCCCACTTTCGTTGCAAGTGTTCCACAATTTTTGGCATGACAGGAAGATGTGAATACAATTCGATTTGACCTGGACAGTCAAATAGTATATAGTCGCCATCACTGTCTCCTAATGCTGAATCCAGCCAGTCGAGATTCTGATTCAAATATTCCATGCAGAAGACAAGGCCGCCATTCGGTCCTAAATGAATGCTTTCATCCTGCATAACATCATCCACCTAGTGACCATATATAGATATGTGAGTTGAGAAAAGAAATTACATGAATCAAATCCCGTATATCTGCTAACGGACTATACTCGAAATACTCAGCTGCAGGATCCAGATTGACCACATCTACAGTTCGCCTCACAGCCTCGCAATGAGCTTGAATAGTTGCACAGTATGTTGACTTCCCGCAACCAGCAGGTCCAATAACAAGCTGAGCGAAACGTGGCATGATTCACAACTAGAAAAGAGTAGGAAAAACAGTGATAAAGATAAATATTAAACTGGATTATATATCAGTTGTGTTGGGGTGGTGGCAAAGTGGTGTAGTCGCTGTCACCGGCGTGCTTTGGTTCGAGCCCCGCTACCCCCACCCAACTTTGGTGATAGACAACTTAGCTGTGTTCTGGTTCAATACCATAGCGAACCCAGCGGGGCCTTGTGTGGTTCACCGCTCCAAGTCCCGGGTTAACGGTTTCAATCAATGAACAGCAGGTCTTCGTGACTATGGGGTTTCGCCCGCCTGCTGTTAGTCATACAAATGTGTGT